ACACGACGATCGGCCCACGCCTCATGGTTCCGATACTCTCGATATCGATATCGGTGTCGTTTGTTGGTAAACTTGGGCAGAGGCTGCTTTATCCACCTCCTCCCACTCGGCTCTGTTGCGAATTTTCTTCCGCAGAAGGGATATCGGCGGCAGATGCCGGAGATCGAAGGGATTTCGCAACGATTTCCAAGCCTTCTACAGATTTTGATACGGTCGCTTCGAAAAATCGACGCGTTTCCATTGGAAAAAAGGAGATCCAGATGCGGGAAATTCTCGAGAGTTATTAATGGAATTAGTTTCAAGCTTTTCGAGTAGGAATTTGAAGAGATGAAACGATCCGTTTTAACATTTTTGATTGATGTCACTTGCTACGTGATTCGAAGTGGAAGCAATCTTTTAATGCAAATGTTAATTGAATCTCTCGGTTAAATGGCTGTCAGAAATATGTTACATTGAACGTTAAATTAATGTCATCAACGTATTACAGAAATTCGAAAGAAGACAGTTCAATCTTTTCCTCCAATAATCTTTAAAAAAAATTATGTGTTAAAATATTAGTCCTCTTGTATCGTTTAATTTAAAAGAAAATTGAAATTATTACATATTTTAATATGTTTTGAATAATCGCGAAGGCTAATGCAAGATTTAGTTTTTGCAAACTCGAAATCAATTTAAATATCTTGTTTTTATTAATTACTTTTTAAACGAGTTACAAATCATAACTAGAAGTATCGTGAACTAGTAATCAAAATTATGCAATTAATATATCATATCTCAATTTAAATTCCACAATTAATAAAATAATCGTAGATTGATCACATGCTCGTATAAATATTCTACTCGACACTTTTAACAATTATACCACGAACAAAGCATCAGTGTGTAATTAAAATTGGCCATTAACTGTAATAAGCGACCCAGTTCACCACGAATTTTAATACGTGCAAATTCCCAGAAATCCCGACATTTTCGCAACCAAAACCACGCCAGAGGAATTCCTTTCCAAATCCACGTTGCTAACGATAACCTCCAATTATAAAAAAAAAAAAAAAACTTATTCAATGGAAATTCCCAGTTTTTCTTTTTATTCCGTTAATAACGAATTAGAATCCTTCCAACTTCTTTTTCGAGCATTCCCGCCTTCAAAACCATACACATTTAATTTATTCTCAAATCTATATTGCCTTCGATTGTCAAGCAAAATCAAACAAAAGTTTGACACGACAAGATTTCCCAATTTTTTTCTCTCTTCCCATCAACATCAATTAAAAATTCTTTCAATTTCTTCAACTCTCAGCATAACTCGATCGATAAGTCGAACAAATCGCGAAACGTGCGGCACCAACGATTTCACGCTTTCCACGATCACTGGAACGAGACGACGATTCAGTGGTGTGCCGAGATCGTATCGATCGGAGCACACAATCGAATGACATAACATTGGCCCCCCATCCCCCCTCTCGAAAGTGTTCCGCTTTTTACACGTTGACCAGGGTTCTTACGACGATATCGTTTCTCGATCGACCGCGTTATCTCACGCCTGTTACAGAGACGTTTCAGTTAGTCGATCGTTACGCAGGGTATATGGAAGTTATTGTTCGCGATTGACCGTTCCTTGGACATTTTTTTTTTTTTTTTTTTTTTTTTTTT